CCCCCCCCCCCTCGGAGTTTCTTATTTGCTGAAAGAGGAGATTAGGCTTTTTGTGTGGGACTGCAGAGGGCAGACCAGGGACCAGGGTGTGAAGGGCTGGAGGCTGGGGGGGCGGGGGGCAGATTTGGGTTTGGAATGAGGAACCACCTAAAAATGAGCTCTCTCCAACAATGGCCCCTGGGGCCTCTGGAATCCTGCATAGACAAAGGCTAGGTGACCAGATCCACACCTTTTCCACCACCTGCGTGAGAAAGCTGCTTCCTGGGGTTGAGAGGCGCTGAATACCGCGACCCTGGGCCACAGAACCGTGAGGCTGAATGAGAACTTAAACTACCTCCATTCTGACCTCAAACTTTCTAACTGATCAAGTTCTTCTTTCCAGGCTATCTCTTAACTCAGACAAAAGACCCTGAGGGCGAAACATCCCCTGAAGGGAACTGAAACCACCCCCTTTGAAACTAACCCCCTTGAGAGCGATAAAGGGCTGCCTAGAGCCAGCAAGACCCTGTATAACTGACCCCAAGGCAATGACTGACCTGATTATCCTGCATCTACCCATCGGGCCTTGCCCAACATTTTCCTATAGAAACATGAAAGTATTTTTGGCCCTTTGGAGACAGTTTTGAGATGCCAGTGCACTGTCTTCCCAGCGCTGGCATCGCTGAAATAAATTCCTTTCTTGTTTTACCACCACTCATAGTGGTGGTAAAGCCTTTGGGTTTTGTCAGTGGCCAGTGGCCAAACCTGGCCTGTGTGGGACCCCTGGAGCCAGGTGCTTTTGCACCCCTGCGCCCCAGCTACAAAGCCCCTTTCCCTCTGTGAGTCTCTGATAGTAACGATTTCCTGGTGTTCGAGTTAATCTGGTCTCAAGGGGAGGGCAGGCATAATGTTGGGTACTGGAGGCTGATGGGGTGTGTGTGTGCAACTTGGATTGGGTGTATCTGGAGGGTCAGGAGCAGCCCGAAAGATGGTTGCTTTCTCTCCCTGGAGCTGATCGGAAGAGGCCCCCTAACAGAGTACTAGGGGAGAATGATTGATCATCAACTAAATGCCAGGTACTGTATGAGTATAAAAAAACTCTATGTGCCTTTCCTCAGGGACTTTATAGTCCATATGGGACCATGGGTGGTAACAATGCAAAGGAGAAGCATTAGAAGGTTGAGTTCATGCAGGAGTTCAATGTGCAGTTGTGCAGGTTGTGCACTGCCCAAGACTAGGATTATCACCCACATAGACATCCTGAGTAATAAAAAGAAAACCACAGGCCCAAAATGTCACTTGGGCCAGGCCAAGTCACCAAAGCGGGACTTCCTACCTAACCTAATTGCAGTTTTCAACCTCCCCCAGAAATGTAGTCTTAAATGATCAGTCAGGAATTTTATGGTAAGCATCAGTGAGGTAATCTGTCACATGGGCCTTCTACATCTCCCCATAGCCCCTAAAGGAAAAGGAAGAGATCTGCATAATAAGATCCCAGTGCCCTTTCCCTGAGGGAAAGGTAATCTTGCCTGAAACAATCCTTTCTTTTCTTTTGCTAATAACTTTCCTGCCTCACCTCCTTCCAATAAAAACCTTCCATTTTATACAAGTTCTCTGCTTGCTACATGGAGCAAGTATAGAATCACTTAATAAACCCAATTAGATCTTTCAAACATTTTTAAAGTTTATTTATTTTGAGAGGGAGAGAGAGAAAGAGAGAGAGAGAGGCAGAGCAAGAATCCCAGGCAGGTTCTGCACTGTCAGTGTAGAGCCCAACGTGGGGCTCAAACTCACAAACCAGGAGATCATGTCCTGAGCTGAAGTCAGACGCTTAACTGACTAAGCCACCTAAGCGCCCAATATTCTTTGTTTTTGTTTTTGTTTTTGTTTTTAACATGTGCAACCATACTTGGGACGCTGAAGCCCCCCCCCCCAAAAAAAAACATATTATTTTTTACACAGTTATCTGATGTCCAAGGGGGGTGAGGCATAATCAATCAGTATCTGTTAAAAGATCTGTTAAAAGCAACCCAGAGTCTGGACATGTATCTATTGATCAGGTTGTGCACATAGAACAAGAGCTCCCCTTAACACTGTAAACTGGACACTAATTCACCAGCTCCTCACCTCTTCTCAGAAACCCGAGGTTCTACCTCCTACTGTGGACTTTTCCCTTTGGGAAAACACACTTTCTTGCCCTGGCTATGCCCTCCCTCCCCGCTCTTCACCCACCCCCTCTCATCCAGTCTGTTTGCCCCCAGCAAAGTGCCTTTGCATGGAAAAGGAAAAAAATCTCATCTAGGAAGCTGACAACCTTTTCTCCATGTCTTCTTTGAACCTGTTCTGATGCCATAAAATTTGGGGGACAGAAGGATTTTTTTGTGTTACATTAATGATAGCCAGAAGTCACTGTGCATGTGAGGTACTGTCACTACCCTTTCACGGATTAGGAAAGTCAGGCTCAGAGAGGTTAAGCAATCAGCCCAGTTTGCATTGCTGTGAGTGGGATGCGTGTGCCCACCCAGGTTTGAGAGTCTGAGTGTTCATAGCGTGAGAAGTAAGGGAGATGATTCCTTTTTCAGAAATACCAAATAACGAGAAGGAAAGCTGGTAAAAGCAGATAAAAGGGGCCAGCCAGAGGTCCCAGGCCAGATACTCCCGTTGCATGCTTTTGGCTTCTGTAATCTTGTTTGCCTCCTGCATCCGCTGCTGCCCGCGTAGCACAACCAATAAGTGCCCCCACCTTTTTCTTTCTTTCTTTTTCCTTCCCTCAAGCCCCTGCAATCCCACCCATAGAAAGAGGCTGACACCAGGGCTCAGGGCTCAGTCTTTGGAGGTGACTCTGCTGGGCCCGCACTGGTGCGAAATAAACGGTCGTTCTTGATTCCTCAAGTGCATGTCACTTGTCTCTTTCTGGGCACCAAGTATTTGCTGTTACAGTAAAAGCTGTGCTGTCTAGTTAACAGCAGGTTTCCATCCTACTGGAAATATGTATGAACACCCCTCAGCCCCTCAATGGAGTCCCAAACCTTTAGACACTTCACTTCCTGGATCTTCCCCTCTCCCTTTTGTGGGCTTATTTTCACGGGCTTTGCAAGAAGCATGCGCCAAAGAACAAAGGAGGGACTGAAAGTCTCTGTGTCACCTTAGAGGACTTTTTGTTCTAATCAGACTAGTTTTTGCCTTACATGGGCATAAGCACTTCCGGGTAAGGCTGTAACCTCTGTAGTACTCAGCCAATGAGGAAGCAGGGGAGGGACTTGCCTGCTAGGAGATAAATTGTCTGCTGTAACTGCCCAGAGTGTGCCCGTCCGTCAGACAAGAATGTTGATTAAAGCCTCGCTTCACTGTGCTCTGAGTCTCCACGTCCCTCCTTTGGGTCAGTGGGCTTGTTTTTCGCAATGGCAGTCTGGCTCTGTGCCCCTAACTGCTGTGCTGTGTTGTGCTGTCACGTTCCTCGTTGCACCTCTGCTTTTTGTTGCCTTGCTTTCTGAGGTCTCAAAGCTTTGAAGGGAAGAGCTCTTGTGATGGCATAGATTTTCCAAACGGGACTGGACCAGTTCTTTCACAGGCCGGATACAGCAAGCAGCACAGCATCAGAACAATTTCACAGGGGTAAGGGGAGCCCAGTGAATTTCCTTAAGGGGCACTGTAGCTCAGCTCTTAGCAAAACGGAGCCATTTCCCCATATTCTGATGTGGCATCAAAACCCTTCAATCAGCCATTGCCCTTGGCCCCAAAATCTGACTTGTAGAAAATTATCCTGCAGAAACATTTGTTTGAGTGCACAAAGGATATAGGTAAAGGATTTTCACTGCAGCATTGCTTGGAGCAGTGAAATATTGGAAACAACCTTACTGTCTTTTAGTAAGGGATTGGTGATGATGCATTTGAAAGAGCGTAGCCATTAAAAATATAGTAGTGACTTACGGTATGAAAGTGGTTTTAGAAATCAGCATTTCCCTCTCTTTTCTTGGAAATC